TTCATATGTCTATTTAATTTCCCTTTGTTTTATCTTCATTTTGAACTTTTATATATATATATATATATATATTATATGAAATAAATTTTCAGTAAAATAATTTATATTTATCTTTTACATTATCAGTATTGAATTAATAATATTTATTACTATTATTACTTTACTGTAGTAACTTAAATGACTACTCCTTAGCTCTATTTTTAATAATTTTTGATACAGTTACCAGGCTTATAGTTATTATTGATAAATTAAAGTATATTTTTATTAATTGCCAGATAAAAGAAAATAAAAATGGAAATTAAATTATTTTTTAAGGAAATTAAACTGTTATTTTATAAATAAAATTAAAATCTCAAACACTGAAAATGCTAAAAACATCCCAAGTGAATATAATGATAATATTTAAGTAATTGTCTACAATGCATTTAGATGATTAATTATTAAAATGTAAAAGTAAATTATTACTTGTGTTTCTTTGTTAAAGCAAATCAAAAATAAATAAGACATAATACAAAAAATGCATAGTTCGTCTTACGAACAAAAGGAAAAAATATTTTTATGTGTCTGACATATAAATGAATTGGTAAAATAAATAACTGAGGTTTTTACTGCCTTCAATAAACACAAGCTTCTATTTTAAAACTAATTTGTGAATATATTAATATTTATACATTTCAAGAAAAGCATATTAGTATTCTTATTGAAAGATTTCTTGGAGATTAAATGTATTAAATATTTTATTTTTAATTTGCTATTTAAGTATTTTTAAGTTAATAGGATTAAAAAATCAGTGATTTTTGTTCGTAACTTGTTTAAACATGTGAAAAAAATCAATCTACGTTAAAAATAGTTTTTTTTCATTTTGAAATGTATTAAAAATTTCTTATTAACCTTACTATCTGCATACATTTGGTAATTTGCTCATGTTCTTTAGTATTCTCACGATCTAAGCGCATGCGCATAGAGACTGACACGTTACACCACTTTGACGAGATACTAACAAAATCTGGAATGCATATTTTTATGTTGTTATGAATGATATATACACAATAATTTGTTCTATAGAAATGATAAGGATATTCTAAGTAAGGAATACAGGCATAGCACATTATTTTCAATGATTTTGATAAGAATATTAAAGTAAACAAACGTAATAATAATTCATTTTTGAAGAAAATCCAATATTCAAATCATCTCCAAAAAGTAAAACATCGAATAAAAACTGGTGAAGTCGATATTTTCAGAAATGAATGTCCCCTCAATTACTTTATAGCTTGATTTAATTCGAAGTAACTTTCTGTTTGGAAAAAAAAATAAAAATTATTTTCCAAAATTTCAATTTTAAAGCTCGTTTCCTCCAAAATCTGGGAGATTTTTTAAATTTATTAAATTATAATTACATTTACAATTTTGAATTTAAGATTTATTTGTTACGCAAACTTTTTTTGTAATTTAATACCGCAATAAGCCATTTAGCTCTAATATTAGGTTTTTTTTAAACATTTTTTTTATGTTCAGATACTGACAAGTGCACGTGCTCTTTAAATTTTTGGCTGAAAAATAGTTTTAAATGAACACAATATTTCAAATGAACCTTTTTTAACCATTGTTTTACTAACCTGATAGTTCGGATAACAGATAAAACAAAATAGCCTCTTTTATCATTTAAACAATTTTTCCATTTACAGTAGTTTACCTGAAAGTAAACATTAGTTGATAAATAAAGTTTATATTTATAGCAGCAAATTTCTTTTTATTTCTATTATTCTTTATTTCCATTATTTCTTTTATTCCATTACTTCTTTTTTCTATGCAATAAACTCCCATTCTATTCAACATCAATGCTTGTGAAAAAGGGTGGGAGAATATTTCAAGTATATTATGTTGTAAACTTCAATCTTTTTTTTAAGTAAGTATATCTACTTAAAGCTTAAATCTTTGTCTTTCAATTATTAAGCTCTCATCGCATTCAATAAAACAAAAGGATAGCTGCAAAATTTTCTGAATTTAAATAATAAATTAAAGGATATAATAAAATATAACCTAATAACAAAGGCGTTTTATCACGTTTTAGAATTTTACGAGTATGGGTATAAAAATAATCGACTACAAGGAGTTCAAATAATGAGGAACCTGCACGTTTTTTTTTTAAATTTTTGAACCGGAACTCTTTTATGACTATGGACACCAATTTCAGTTCAATGGAGTTACTGTTATTTTGTAATTAATGTTTGAAATTCGCACAAATAGCCCCACCCACTAAAACGCAGCTACTATCCCACGAAACATTTTCTTGCCTCCTGCTGATGTCAGAATTCTGGATCGCTACGAGATCCATATCACCTTCGAATAGAGCAAAAACTCGTGCCGTACCAAATATTAACTATCCGTAATGTATTGCACAATGTTGCAACAGCTACTTATTTAACAAACCAAATAAAATACTTTTTTTTTATATGAAATGGAGATGAAAACAAGAATGATGGAAAGTCAATAAACGTGATGGAGAAAAAAACGCAAACTGTTTGCAACTTCTTTATCATTCTGTTGTGGAGACTATTTTATGGACTTTATTTCATTTCAATATTGTAAGATTCATTTAATTTTGATAAGCTTCTCTGAATGAATCATTGATCACATTGAATTAAAACGTTTATTAAATGCCCTTAAAAGCACTCTTCTTTAGCGGACTGCATCTGGTAAACATGTTTTAGCCAATTGAAGCATTAATTCTTAAAATTCAACTTTCGCGTTCAGTTTATGATTCTGAATAAATTCAATATTCAGATCAGAAACATCATTACAAATGAAAAATTATTTATCTTACTCCTCTGCTTGCATCATATCAAAAAGTCAACACAATTTTGGCCAAATAAATAAGATATAAAAAAAAATCTTTGTACGCTACAATACTTTCCTATATGGCAAGCTTTGATCGGCTCCTTCCGTTCACTTTACATGTGAATTCTGACGTCATAAACAATTTTGACCTCTTTTTGTGACGACTGAAGTAAGTTTCGTTTTAAGTTAATTTCTACGCATAATTTGAAAAAATTCGTCTGAATTTAATGCTGAAATGACTTTTGAGAGTTTTAAGAGATGTTCTAACTAAAATAATCAGCATTATAATTAGTATTTCATGGCTATCCAACGCATTCAGGTTCCTCGTTATCGAAGTTATGGGAAAACAATAAAAGAAAAATGGAAATATGAGAAGGATGTATGGTTTGCTACGTTCTGTTTATGCCACTGGAATATTTCTTCCTACCAAGTTCAAAAAACAGTCACAAAGATTAGTAACATATAGCATACTTAATTTTAAAAAAATCTTTAACAAGTTACCAGAAATGGCAGCAATAAAAGTGGTAGAGTCTGAGAACAAATTTACCGCAAACGTGCAACATGTTCGATTTGAATAGCCTAACAAGCAGGATTAATTTTTTACAGTTTCTTCCACCCAGTAGTGCCACCTGTTAATGAAATTTGTAACTAATTTCGAAAATTTGCAGCAGTAATTATTCTGATTTCTTAAGCAAACCGTAAGTTTCAATCTCTTTTCGTGTTTCGTTATTTGTTTTTAAAATCAACAGGGGGACAACCTTGATTTAAGTTAAACAATGTTTTCTTTCTTCTTTATTTACTTCCAGATTACGCTGACTTACCCAGATTTGATACTTTGAAAAATATTTAATAATTTTCATAAAAAAATTGTATTATCTTCTTTTTAGGTTATATTTTAAAATTTTAGCTGGAAGACAAATCTAATGTATAAATGGTATTTTACGAATTCAAATAAAATAAAACAATTATTTATTTCTGCGCATTCCTTAATATAATATCCATATCAAGAAAAATACATATCACCTTTATTCAAAAGATGATCTTTTAATATACGTAGAGATATATGTATATGCTGGCGCAAATCGAAAGTTTAAACATAGAATAAAATGCAACTGAAAGGAGAAAGTATATACACTTATTTTATCGATAACATAAATAAATTGCTATGTACGATAATTTCAGCATTCATTCGAAGATGTCTCTAAAATTGTTTGAACAATGAGCTTGAAGTGTGAAAAATCAATTTTCGGTTCATTCACAAACATAAATTAAAATTCATTATTTAAATCCTGCTGCAAATCAGCACCAACGTTTGAAATTATAAATAGTTATAATGCTCGGTAGCTCCTTTCTTTCAGAGGATTGTATGAATTCGTCTCTTATCCAGCACGCATCAACGAATTAAGAGCCAGAGCAGGCATACAGTAACTGTAATAAAATTGAATGTTGTCTGATGACTGGCTGATGAGGGATGACTTTTTGATAGCCTCCGTCTGCTTTCTTTTCTTTCCCCACCTTGAAAAAAAATTAGTTAATGTTTTACTTGCATAAAGTTAGCACTAAATCTTTTCACTTATATTTATTAAAACATAAATTAAATTAATTCTTATAATTGTTATAAATTATATTATTTCTATTTTATGCCTGTCGTCAAACAGAAAACTCAGTTTTGAGTATTCTAGAACCAATGTTCAATACCCTAGTCTAGTAATTTTGAGCCCAATCCAGAAGATAAGGGAACTCCTGAATCAAGTATTAAGATAAATTTGCCTTCGTAGAAGACTTTTTGATTATATAATTCCACAATTGCGTTACAAGGAACGATAAACCACGAAAACCTTCCACGGTTAGCCTGACGGGAAGGAGACTTTTTTTTTCTTTCCTCCAAGCCCTGAGCATGTACCTAGGTTATGAAAACCCTTAACCATATAGCCCAGGACTTGGCCGCTGGTCCAGCTCCGCTCCAGCCTAAATAACATAATATTTAAAAAAAATTAAAAATTTTTTTAAAAAAAAAGAACAGATTTTACTGAAAGTGTGGAATTTAAGAAGAAATAAGACAAAAAAATATTATACATGTGAAGTGGGTATACATGTGAATACATGTGAAGATAGTCATTATCCGCTAAGAAGTTCATTACTGTTATTAATCTTTTGTTTAAAGTATTGTACGGAAAGGAGACTCTAACCCATGATCCGTCTACTACTGAAAATATTTTTCGTCAGCACTGTGATCAGTGCGAGTCGGGTTAGCAATTCGTATCAACCAGTCATCTCTGAGATTCGGACCCTGAGTAAGCCATTGGAAGTGAGCACTCTATCCCCTAAGCCGTCACGGCAAAAATTATATTGATTCTAGTAAAATAGTGGATTACTGTAACAGTCCGTTGTGGTAGAGGGTGGTATTAGAGTTTAAGTCTCCACAATTTTGTGATTAACAGCACGATGTTGGCAAAGAGGAAAAGACTGCGCAAGGACTGCTTTTACTCACTAAACAAACTAGTTAAAGCTGAGTTGCATTCTGGGACAGAACCCTTAACCTTTAATATAGCAGCACAGTGCCTCAACTATTATTGCATCGCAGTTCCATTCATTGAAAGATATTTTAATGAACTTTTCGAAGAACTAGAAATAATTTTGTAATTAACCTGATTACTGAAATTTTTATTACGTTCATTTCTATGTAGAACTAAAGGCATTGGAGCTGAGAACTAAGCGTCGTCATAAACGAATAAAAGTTTACGAGAAAAACATTTTTCTAACATGGATTGCAGGATAAATTATCTTTACAGAACAAAATCAAATATATAAAGGAAAGTATATTTTTTTCATGCTTTAAAATTATCAAATATTTAAATTTTTATACGGGAAACTTTATTTCGATGCAAATATCGCTTTGAATATCACATCATTGTTAAAGCTAGATAAATAAGATGGATACAAGAAATTTGAAATAGATGCATTTGTGAATAAAGTTCAAGTTTTATGAACTAGCGCATTCTTTTTACTCTACAAATTACCAATGGTATATTTATTTATTTTACGGTATAAGTTTTCGTTCCAATGGACTCGACTTATTCTCAAACTTTAACTTATTTATTTATTTGACGTATTGACAGAATTATTGTGGTTTCCTTTCGTTTTTTTACTGTATTTGTTTGTCTAAGCTTATTTCTCTCATTGTACAGTTATTTTGAAAATCAAAAACAAGGAGCTTTAATAAAATTTTCCGAGCGATTTGGTTTTCCCATTGAGTTAAAAACTGGGTAAATTTTAATATATTCCGCATAGTCCTTTTTGGGTGTAATATCCATAAAATCCATTTTTACCGTAAATAATTATACAATAATTTTTACAGTGTTTTAATTGAATAATCGAATTTTTATACCATAATTTGATCAAGTTTTAAGAGTGCATGCTACCGACAAATATATTTTTTGAAAACAACTAATTATTTTTTAAGCATAATTATAATAAATATGAAATATATTTTTAGTAATAGCTAGAAATAATATTTATTTAATTGAAACGGTGCTTTATTTAATTAAAAGGGGCTTTAATCACAAAATTAGAAATATTCGTCAATTATTACTCATTTATTTATGTAATTTTAAAGTACCCAAAGAGAAGCAAGCCCAAAGAGAAGAGAATGCGTACCTTTTACCCAAATCGATCCCATATAATTTGACTTATATATTACAGCTGCCTTATATAGTGGAGAATACATCATTTATTATGAGTCAAAACTTACTTTGTTCTCTGAATTCGTGATCGGAAGCTGCAGCTGCTGCAATTCCTCCAAGTGTACTTGCTTTATCAAGAAGCTCAGTGGACAATTCTGACTTTTTCGCAGCTGAAACAATAACATATTTATTTTGACTCAAATTTAAATCTTATCCAAATAATTTTAGAAAAATGGAGTTTTGTGTTCATGAATACTTAATTTCTAGTAAAGTGATAATTTTAAAAGAAATTATTTGAAGATAAATTAAATATTATTGTGAACTAAAAATCGGGAATACTTAACAAAACTTTTTTTTATCTTGTTTTCAAGTTGTTTTTTCGCGGTTTTCAAGCTTTCAAAAATCTTGTGTTTCAAATAAATGAGAAATAATGTTTCTGTTCTATTTAATATCCGGTGTAAGGAATATTTAAGCTTATCAGCTCTGTTTTAAAAACCTTGACTGCATTTTTTCAAAAAAATTATTTTTTTCTTAAGTTTTATTTCTTTTCTTATAATTTAAAAATAATAATCTGAGTAATAGATTAATTCAGAAAAATCTCACTTTTTTTTAATTATTTACTTTAATTTTTAAGGAGTTTTTTTTATAAATTTTCTTCAAACGTTATGCAAGGGAGGAAAATATACATGATATATATGATATTTTCTAATATTTTATTTCGATTCTTTCATAATTTAAAAATAATTATCTCAGAAACACATTGACGCAGGGATTTTCTAAGGTTTCTTAATTTTTTAATTTAATTTTTAAAGAGTTCATAATAAAAAATAATTTTAAAGACATTTTTAGAGACATTCATAAGATATCATGTAAGGAAGGAAAACATACATAATATATATGATTTTTTTCAAACACGTCATTTCTTTTTTTATGATTTAAAAATAATTATCTCAGAAATAGAGTAACTCAAGAATTTTTCAAAGAACTTCTTTTTCATTTTCTACTTTAGTTTTTAAATAATTTTTTAAGAGGTTTTCATAAAATATCATACAAGGAGGTAAATATACAGCTTTCACTTTTGCTTCTCTCAAAAAAATAATGATAACGAAAAACTAATGTATGAATTATTATTATATTTAAACATTAAAACTTCTTAATATTGAAGCATGATATTTTGCGTTGCACCAAAAGTTAAAAAAAAAATAATATTATCAGTTAATGTCCTTAAAAACTTCATATATTTACAAGCATTTTCGTTATTCATATTAAGGATCAAAATGACGCAAAAATTCAAAAAAAAAAAAAAAATACAGACAAAAGCAATTTTTTGTGGGTTTTTTCCCTTTAATTTACAAATACTGTACCTCACTCACATCTTAGGATTGTGTACTATCTCAAAACTCACTGTAAATCATTTGTAATGAAATTTTTATTTCTTGAATAAGCGTGCTTTTTACCGAACATAAAAAAAAAAATTAATCTACTGATAGGACGCCACTAGATGTTATTTTTACTTCCAAGAGAAATCTTAGTTTTTATTCGAATCAATTTATAAATACCGAATTTGTACGTAAAACAGATTTAACTATCTAAGCCGATTATTATAAATATAAATAATTTTTAAACTATTAGTAAAATAAAATTATGTTTTATTTACTAATCTTGACAAGCATTTAGACTGATTCAATCAACTTAAAATATGTCCATGCGCTTCTGATTTGATTCAATTCCTTTAAAAGTAGAACTTGATTAGATGTGAGAGACATAGATTTAGTAATCAAGATAAAATGTTTGGTATTATAATAAAATTAGCTAAAATGCATAATAGAACTTTTCCAAAATAGTAAAAAAAAAAAAAAAATATGAATGCTATTAGAAATAAAAAAATAAAAAGATATCGCATTTTTTCACCGTTTCTCCTTTTTTACTAAAGAAAAAGCATCGTAGTTGTCTCGTCTTGTTTAAGTTAATTTAAAATGATGTAACAAAACACGCAGGAGGATTTATTTAAATAAATTTTGTAATCTCTCTATTGAAATTGAATTAAATTTAAAGTATTTATTTAGAAATGGCGAATTTGTAAATAATTTCATTAATAGAATTAGTTTTTCAATTTGGTTTTAGCAATAAATCTCTAAACTATGCGTAATTTGCAATGTTTTGCAGCATGATTTTTTTTCATAAGGAACGGCAACAAAAATGCTTTGCGCCGTGGGAAATGGGAAAAAAATGAGGGAAAATTAGTAATATCTCAAACATAGCTGAAATAAAGTTAAAAGCAATAAATGTAAATGTATTTAATTATTAGTTTGTATTCAAACCAAAGTTTTCAAATATTTTTTTTGTTGATCCTGAAAAAAAATTCAATTTTGATTTTCTATTTTGTTTTGTTAGAAATTTCTTACTAAAAGTATTGCTTTCTGGAGAGATCCTTTGATTTTGGTATATATATATATATATATCTCACCGAAACAAATATAATGATCATACTCACAATCATTATCTTCTTTTAATAAAGAATGTTTCCAACTATTAAGTGGCAATTTCTCACTCGTCGTTTGTTGACTTCCTGTAAAAAAATAAATAAATAAACTAACTTTGATAAATATAAAATAAAAATTAGCAAAATAATGTACCTTATTTATTCAAACTAAAACTTTTGCATAAAACAAAGTTTAGAGACATATCAGTAAAAACGCGGTGCCTTAAAAATTCTATTATCTTTAAAAGTAAATAAATAAATGGAAATTTAATTTAGGAAAAGCAAATCTGCTGTTTGCTTTCATTTTTTAAAAATCGGTGGATAACTTTTGTCTCTTAAAATATAATAAGTTGACAAATTAACTATGAAATGGCGCATTAAGGATAGAAAACCAGACACTCGCATCCATGTTTGCAATTAAGATCCATTCTAAGTGATTTCTTTGTTAATTATTATTTATTTAGAAGAGACAAATTGATTGTCCTTTAGTAAAATTTCACGTCTAAATTTCCACCAGACAGTGATGTGGATATAAAAATGTCTTTAATTACGGTATTTATGATAAATGTTAAGTGATTATAAATGAATGTGCATTTTTTGAGTAACTATTTGAACGCTTAATACATTAATTTCTCTGTGTTTTGGGTTGGGTTCAAAATTGGCAAGTTAAAGTTTTTTTTATCGAGCAATTTCTGAAACATCGGTCATAAAATAAAGTAGTTCAGATGAGATTTCTACGCTTTCTTTAAAATTAAAAATGAAAATATTTCAATTTAATTAATTACCAGATAAATTTTTATTTAACTATAATATTATTATTACTATAGCTATATGTCTGTTGTGGAAATATTAATGTAGTTTATAGAGAACGTCTTACAGTAAGAACAGGTTGAAAGGAAAACAGTAAGAAGATAAGTTTTATTTTCTTTGAAAAATAACGCAAATTAATTCATTTTTGATTATCTTTATGTATTTTTTCCATCAACATTTTGTTATCTATGTATAAAAAATTAAAATCTTACCCTCAGTTTTGCTTGTATATTGAGGAGCAGGTGATGATGTTGTGGTTGGACGTGGAATTTCTGAAATACAAAAAAATAATTCGACTGAAAACAAGCACATTAATTGATTTTTTACCCTAGTGACTAGCAATTAGAATACAGTGCATTTTCTATATTATTAAGCAATTCTTTTGCAAACTTTTCGGGTGTCAAATATAATTCAACAGCCTCTAATTTATGTTATGATTTAAAATGAAATCATTGTTCACATTTAATTAAATCATCATTGTTCACATTTATTTAAATCATCATTGTTCACATTTATTTAAATCATCATTGTTCACATTTAATTATTTTAAAGCGGAATGCAACACACTGTGTGGTTATCTTCAAAATTACTACTCTGTTATAATCAGATTATTGTTCCTTCTGGTTTCAAGGATGTGGTAAAACTTGGTATATACGTATTGTGGAACACTGATAAAAATCGTTCAATAGACCAATAGGTGGCACTTTTCAAAGTTTTCGAGATAGTCACCGACTTTAATATTTCTAATTAGGAGAGGGAATTAAATGAGAGGGGAAAAGCGGATTTCAAAAGAGTTGTATTCACACTAGCACTGCTCGTCATATTGCCCCAATAGTTTATGGCTTCAGTTCGTGAAGTCATTTAAAGCTTGGCATATATTTTTTTATCCGAAACGGCATAGTTGTGATACTCGCAACCGGTTGAAAAAGTTTTTGACTTCTAAAGCAAACATAACACTTTTACCTATACATATGAGGAGTTTCTCTTCATTTGGCGTAACTGGGTTGAAATAACACGCAACTCTTTTAATCATGATATAAAAAATGAATCAACTGAACTCTGCTTTCCCCATCTGATACACTGGATGACAAACTCAAGCACTATCCATCTCTAGATGGCTCTGCAAAATCATTTAAGTTACATTTTAATTACGTTCATTAGATGTGACTTAAAGCTCAGTTAAAACTCAATTTAAAGCTGCTTGGTTGCTATTCAAGAAACGTTACATGATTTTATTGGGAAAATTTAATTTTTCTCTTATAAGGTTACATGTTAATACCAGGAAGGTTAATGACTTTTAGTAAAGAGGTTACTAAATTCATCATAAAGGTTTACGGTTAATTCTCAAAAAGTTACTGACTTTCAGAAATTAGGTTTCTAAATACATGAAAATGTTCGACGTTTTTCTGCTAGAAACATTTGTTGTATTACTAACTGTTTTATCTTTCATGGGGAATTCTGGATTATTGCTTTTGCGTATGATTTATTTATATTTAAATTCCTTTTACGGAGTAAAAAATAATTTTAATTTGATCGAATATTAAAATTACAAACAGAATATTAAGATACTCTATTGGTAAAATATTACATATCTATCAGAATAAAAATGCTTTAAACAAATTCGAAAAATATTCAGGATTCTACTTTTTTTTTTCGCTTCTATAAAAACTTTAATCATAAAATTTTGACAATTTAAATCGAAACGATGTAAAATTTATTTATGAAATGCGTGGGCAAATATTTGGAAAGAGAGCATGTTGAAGTTAAATATATTTTGTAACTCTAAAATCTGATTTTCGAAGTTCTTTCCATTTCGAACTTTTAAATAACTGTTTTTCTTAGCCTGGAGCTATTTTACGGCTCCTTTGGGAAATATTTCAGAATATGATTTTCGCGAACATCTTTTCCAGTCGCGTTTTCCTCTTAAATCAGAAGCCATTGAAGAAAAGACGTGTAAATAATTCATTGGTTAATCCATCTTTCGTCATAAAATAAAATTGATGTGAACGTCAACTAACACGCGTGATGATTACTTGATGGAATTCATTTGAAATCTCTACTGTCTCAAAGTTTTAGGATTTTACATAGATTAAAATAAAAGTGTTTCCCTGAATTCAAATTCAAAGAAAATTTAAAAAGTTTTATTTTTTTTAATTTATAGTTTTATTTTCATAATGAAAAAGCATTTTTTACAATCAGGTAAATGATGAAACTAGTTATTTTGAAATTTATAACAAAAAAGTGTGTTCAAAATTAATTACTAATTAATTAATACAAACGGTAGCACCATAATGCCATCATTATAATATATATAATTAATGTTTCATTTTTCCCAAATTACACTTCATACTTTGTATCGTTTATAAACATAGTTGTTTTTCAAATTATGCATCTTTTTAATAATTTATTCCGAATTTTTTGCAGGAATGAACAATAGATAAAAGTTTATTTCTTTCGTTCGTGCAGAAAAAAAGAAGATACAGTGACCTCTCACTTATGCAATACCTCTTTTATGCATCTTTTTCATTTATACGACGATTTTTATAGGTCCCAGTTCATTAGGGTAGGAAAATAATGATAAACATCCTTCGTTTATGCGTCGCTTTAAAAATAAATTTTTCAATTATGCACCGAAATTTTAGGCTAACATTTTAGTTTTTTTATCCTTTAAATATTTCTTTTTCTTAAAAAAATAGGTTTTAAATTATAAATTGAAGCAATTATATAAGCTCTCCTTGTTACAGATAAGAAGAAATATGTTGTTAGATCCTATTGAATTGTGCAGCATATTATGACGTCAGGTACTTTCTTTAGAAATTCATCAAGTGATGTTTCACCCCCTTCCATAAAACTCAAATTTTTTGTGAAAAACTGTTCATTTATATGTAACTTAAACTTGTGGAGTATGAGACCGTGGTGAATGTTCTCACGAGGATGATTAAGTTCCTCCAAATCACACAGTAGTATTAGAAGCTTTAGACACTATTCGTGACTATTTACAAATTAATCCTGCTTCTGAAACTCCCTTTTCCTATTTATATTAGCTGGAAAAAACTGTTTTTGAAATACGTTGGCAAAAACAAATACAAACATGTATTAAGGATTATTTTGTAAGAAAATAAATTATCCTTAGGTATGTTGTATTTTTTTTATCGTATAATTATAGTAAATACCAAAACAGTATAAATATTAACATTTAATCTTTAGAAACATATTTATTCATATTGCCCCTGCAATTTACATTGCTTTTTAGAAGTATTTCACTTATGCGCTTTTTTCTGTTGGCCCCTTACACCAGTGCATATTTGAGAGTTCACATTGTAAGAAAATGTCATTTAATTGGTTAAAAAAGATCAAATATTATAAATTTATTAACACATACTAAATCCACATTCCTGGGAAAAACTAAAAAGTTTCTCAAAGATTTAATATCTTAATATTAAAGTAAAAACATTCCCGCAACAGCTCGTTCAGAGCCAGGTGATCATAGTTGTTATAACTCCACAATATCATAGTGGTATGATTGGGACAATGTGGACACATTGAACAGTAGCCGATTATCTATCTATTAGTTATTTAGTATTTAGAATGATTGTTTTAGAAATTAGTCATTTATTTGTAAGTGAGAATTAAAAATAATGTATGGAATAGTAAGAAAAGATACTTACTATGTATTTAAAAGGAAAAAAAACTACAAAATGTGCGTAATTATCACAGCAAATAAAGAGGCGACATTTTTTAATAAAGATGCATGAATATTATGATGATAAAAAAGTTAATGAAAATTAGATTGAAATTTAATAGATAACTTTTACAGCTGAAAAAAAAACGTTTTTGAGAAATATAAATGTTTGTTCTAAAATTGGAGAGATATGATCAGCATCCGATCTAACTTCTCAACAATGCTAAAATAAATTTATTTCATACGCGATGAATGCAGCAACATGTCAATAAAGAGAGGTGGGTACTTAAACTACTTTTCAAGCAACATTTGTATGCCTGAAATATTATTCGTCTGTCAGTTATAATTATATTAATATACTTGACATTTGAAATCAATCTAAAAATAAAAATTTGGATTAATTGCAGATGAAACTCATCATTTTTGTAATTAATATTTTTAAATAAAAAAAAATTAGCTTAAGATTCTAAAGTTGTATACGTGTACGATTATTGGTAATTTATTTATGAACAATAATGAGACAAAATAAAACAAACACATGTTACCAAATTTTATTTGAAAATTACATTTCGCGTGAAATAAAAATAGCAATCTGTTGCCTGCTTATTTGTTTCAACAAACTACTGTTGACCATTTCAAATGGTTAGTTAAATTTCAGCCAGATAGTGTGGTTTTAAGTAGTTTCAACAGGAATGTTATCCTAACTAAACAGGATTGAGGATCGGTAGATGAAACTGCAGGTTTTTAAGCTCAAATATAGTATGACCATCAAGTTTGAATGATATTTTTTTTTCTTTTTGAGCAACTTTCAAGTAGTCATAAAAAAAAACTTGCCATGGTCTGCAGATGCGACAATAAACATTACGCAGCTCACAATCAGACTTTCATCCAATGATAAAGCGTGTTAGGCTCAATTATTGTGAACAGAATCGTTAAAAAAATAATATAATATCATTAGAGTATGTTTTTGATATGATATTATCACATGAAAAAAATATATAATTGTCCTAATACTTTCAAACATAAGTATCGGTACCATTATCAACGAAAAAGAGCATCATTAACAAGTATGGACAGAAATTATAATTTCGATTGTACAGAGTCACTAATAATTTCACCAATTCCCTAAAAATCTCGATAATAATCCATTAATGGGTTTACCAATAATTTCTAATAAATTCACTAATAATTAGGTCCAAAAAGATATTTCTGTTATGTAAATTGTAAATTTATTTATAGTGTGGCTTGATAGTCTAATAATTGAACTAGTTATTTCTATTAATTTCAAATGATTTTAGTAACATTAAGTTTCAACAAGGTTCTTTTTTGTTTTGAAAGCTATGTATTCCTCTACCATATATGTTACTCGATTAGGTTTGATAGGGTTTTAGTTTTAAGAATAATTTCTAAAAAGTTCTAAATTTCCCTTATTATTAGTTCGAATGAGTTTTTTTTTTCATTCGAAAATTATATATTTATTTACATTGTAGTTTAATATTGTCTTAGGATTGTACTAATTTCATGAATAATGATAATTTCTAGATTTCCCATATTATTAGTTCCAAAAAGAACTTTTTTCTTTCCAAAACTGTACATTTATTTACCTTGTAGCTTGGTACTTTTGAATAATTGTGCTAATGATTTCGTGATTTCACAAACATTATGATTCACTTTTTATTGATAGCTATGAATTTACTTACCATGTAACTTGATAGTGTTCTGTGGCTCAATGATTTTAAGAAAAAAATTCTAACAATTTCACGATTTCGCTAATAATGAGACATTTTTAGACAAAAAAGACATATTATAAAAGGACATATTTGGTTAACATGGAATTTGATAGTTCTTAATAAACTAATGGATCCCCTGTAAAGTTTAAAAATATTAAAGATTTTAACTATAATTTTATTTAAAAAAGAATTTTTTTTGTTCTGTAAGCTGTATATTTACTTACCATTTATCTTGATAGTGCGATGATTTCACTAATAACTTCAAACAATTTCATAATTTCAAGAATAATATGTTTTAAACAAAGGACTTTTTTCTGTCTGGAAAGTGGATATTTACTCACCATATAGCTTAATAGTTCCTTCAGTTTCACCCAAGGAGTTCTTCGCGACACACGTATAGGGGCCATAATCCTCTGGTTTCAAGTTTCGAATAAGAAGATGCATTTTACTCTTATAGGATCCCGAGTCTATGAGCATGCTGTTATACTTGGAATTAGAGAGAATCATGATTCCCCCTTCTCTTGTCCAGTACGTGACAGATTTGGGGTGACTTTCCAATCCGCAGTCCAAGAGGACGTCTGTATCGAGGGGTGCTCCAACCAATTGGTTTGGAATCCATATCATCGGTGCAACTAGAATGAAGATCACGTGATTTCATGGCACAACATTTTATCAAATTATTATTTTAACTTACATATGTATCACACTACATCAAATGACAGATACATATATTAAAAAATTTAATAATTATTATAATATTGATGAAAACATTAGAACTAATCAACAATGAATTGAATTTAGAATTAAATGCGATGTTATTTGCTTATTGTAAGGATAGTGGATGCAATTTTACCTTTTTTTGAATAACCGATGTACTAATTAAAATCTTAAAATACATATGATGTATTAGTTTTCTAATTAAGGATAAAACAAAATGTAACTATTTGAGAATGTGATGTCATTCATAAACCATTTTCTGTCTTTACACCTTTTATGTTACAAATTACTCAATTAAGCACTTTTATTCTGTTAACTTAAAATTTAATCTCTTAAGTTTATCTTACTATGAAAGCTGCAAGCTAATTCTCTCTTCTTGAGAATTTTCGCTTTTGTGCTTTGAATGCTTCCAGAATTTTCGAGCCATCAACAATCAGAAATGTCACTTAAAAATTTTTACCCAGTAAAATTTATCTAAAACTTTCTTAAATTTGTCTAAAAGTAGAAGGATGGTTTGTTTTCAGAAAAGAAATGATTAGGAAAATAGATATCACCTTAGATATTGTAGAAATTTCCAATTGTTGATAAAACTGCAACGGAGATATATGATAAGGACTTTTTATAAAGCCCGCTTGCGAATTTCTAAAAGGTTGCAACTCCTAGTGAATAGGATTTTCTACCTTTTATGTGACAAAAATATAATAAAAAAATAAAGAAGCTTGAAAATAAGGGCTTAAAATTATTTCTGACTGATTTCCAGATTTTTGTGCTGTCAGCATTCCTACAAATATTTTTCCCTCTTTAAGTTCATTTAACTTTTTGCTTAAGGAAATATTTTCGCTACGCTTCAAAAACAATCATACATTTATGCTCCACTTTTACTATTATAGAAGTAATATGTTTTTGACAATTTTGCGGGATATTAAAAATACTTAGAAAATGCTTTAATTGATAAGTAAGTACGTAAATTTCTTTTAAAAAAGTATATCTATCTTTCAAATACAAAGAAATAGATTGTTTCGGATACACTTCATTCTCATGAAAAATGTGATATAAGGCAATTATCATTAATCCATTAAGCAATTAATTTTATTTCTTTATAATAAGTTAAAAGCTTAAACTAAAAATTTTGTATGCGAATTTAGTTCCGTAAACAATTACAAATCATGAATTACAAATCATGATAAATCTTAGAACATATATTTTTTATTTTCGAGAAATGAAAAAAAACTACTGTGATTATAATTATGTTTTAAACCCTTTTTAATAAAATGTGAACCACTTTATGTATCGATAAAAAGAAAAAAAAATTAGCGGGTACAAGTTAAATTTTTGATACTTTTAAAAAGAAATGTGCATTAAGGAATAGAAAAATTACCGATATTTTTTTTATAAAATTTGAAACATTTACATGTTCAGTAACAGTTGTTAATTCAAATATGCGTTTTATTCAATTAAAATATGATACGACATTAACCCGTATCAATTTTTCCTGATTCCGCTAAAATGAAAGTAATTTTATTTTGTGAGATTTTAAAAAATCAGGAAAAAACGTTTTATTATCTATCACTGACATCGGAATAAAATTAAAATAATTATTGTTTGTGATATATCAATGCGGAACTCGGAAAAGCATAATGATATTATCATTTTTGGTTATAAGAAGAGGGCCTCACTATTCGGCATTCGCTTCTTCGCATTATCTTGAGATTAAATTCATTTTCTTCAAATGGTATCTTCAACCAAAGCATATAATAAGTAAAGCAAGTATCTCTTTCTTTAAATTAACTGACCTAAAAAGGATATTTTTGAAATATATGCAATTACAGTTTTTAAAAATTATACAAAACTTATAATTTTAAACTAAAAAAACTATAAATATCACAGAATAAATAAAGGTGTTTTATTCGGACAAAAAACTAAACAAATGTTTTAAATATAAGTACTTAGATGAAATCGCAGAATAAAGAAAACAATCTTCATTAAAAAAAACAAATTTTGTTTCAACATTTCATCTCATTTAAATTCTTAGTATTTTTTTATACTTCAATAAAAAAGAATTTAAAATCATAACTATAAGCGTATTGAAAAATACTTTTTTTATGATTCCTTACTTTTATTCGTACAATACTTTGATTGCCACGTAACAAATGTTTCTTAAAAGCGGACAACTGCCCTAAATAAAAAAGTTAAATATAAAAAAAGAACAGCACAAAAAAACTGTCACGTGTTTTACGACCTGCTATTTCCTTAAGAAAAGGACGGTACATAAGATAGAGAAAAGAGAAATGTTAAAATAGATATCATCTGTAATCCAGTAAGCACTTTTCTTGCTCTGGGACAGGACAATAAATAAAGTTTTCGCTGACAACTTTAAGGGATGTTTTTAAAAGCGAAATTTCAAACGTTTCTCTGCAGTTAAACTTTTATTTCGCATTTTACTATCTGAATATATATTTTTATAACATAGCTCGCTTTCGCTGCAGGATATAATTTTGGGTTTTGAATGGTTCCTTCATTCACCGCAAAATATATATTTGGGTGTAAAAATAAGTGATTGTCAGTGAAGTATTTGACACAGAAAAGCACTAGAAATCGATCTCGTTACAAAAAAAGTTCTTAGTTTCGTGTTTATATTTTTTTTTTAAAATTGGCTTGGCAGCAATATTGCGCAATATTTAATTGTTAGCGTTGCACTGAGGATACAAGTTACACAATTAAGCTATTGGCCGACTTATTGTATGGACTATTGGTGACCAATTCATGCATTATATTAATCCGAAGACTATAATGGCGTATTTACACATAACCTCAAATTATAGATTAGCTAACAAAGACAGTGGTAATAATTACCTGGCACTTGAACGCTCTTCACCTTGTATTGTTTGAAGCTATTCACCTAAGTACATGTTAACAACATTCAGACACTCATGCATCTCACCAAGAAATACGCCCAATTCATATATTTCAAATTCAGCCTACTTCAAATATATCAAACAAGCATGATTTACCAAAACAACAAAAATCCGTTGGCAGTGAAGTGAATTGCTGCAGACAATGGTGCAAAGATAANAACATATAAATCAGCAATAACTTCTCTTGTATTTTTCCAAAAGTTCAATTTCGCAGGCTTGTGTAATTCACAGATGGAAGTTTGATGGTAGGTCATCAGGCTGTGGTTCCATTATAGTAAATAATAATATTATAAGGATATCGAATATATACTTCACACCCGCCAGGTTTCTGAGTGAAACTGATTTGGGTGTATAAAGTACTCACAGATCTCCTTAAAACTAACCCCTTCAAGGCAATTTGCTACACCGATTCCCAAGCAGCAATCACAGCCAATACAAATCTTCACCAGTTATGATGCCTGCTTAATAATCAATTTTTATGAAGAATCAGATCTAATTTTTCAGTGTATTCCTTCACGCGTTGGACCTGTCTAGATTTAAACAGAACATAGCACCTCTCTCTGAAAATGATCATCTTTAAATTTTGTAAACGAAAATGGACCAAGTTCATACCACTGCTCATCAATGGTAAGCCACAAATCTTCCAGAAAACTTTTGAAGTTCGAGGACCCTCGATGCATCTATTCTGCGTAGTAAATATCGCGATGAACAACTATGCAAACAAATTGAGCATTTAAATATCATCTTGGCATTCATCAACAACATATAAGTCTAGACTGAAATTGCTAATGAATCTAAATCTTTAAATAAGGTTAAGTTTGAATGTTCACAAAATCTACTTACAGTTGACATTGAGCATAATACGTTTACTGACAGATGGCTGAACACCATTACTCGCTATGCAAAGATAGGCTCCCATATGCAGACGGCTTACTTTACTGATGTTCAAATATTCTCCTTGCATTCCTGATCCTGAAATGGCACATAAAATACTTCAAAAAAATTTTTATTGTTGAAAATGTTTGGAAAGATTAAAGTTATAACTAAAGGTTGTTTAAAATTGTTGAAATTAAAATACTCTAAAACAAGGGTTTATAAGCCAGATAGCCCATTTTTTTCAAAAAACATATTTTTCATACTATTTTCATTATTTTGCATTGATTTTGGTCCAAACCAGTGAAAAAAATTTAAGTTTTGAATTTTAATAATTTATGATAATACAATACAGTATGTGTTTCTTTTTGCGTTAAAGGTAAAATCTTCCAAACACGGCTCACTTCCTAATATATTTTTTAATTGCAATTATTTTCATTTATCCAGTTCTAAGAGAAACATTGACTAATTATTGAAATTTCTTTTATTTAAAAAATTAGACAAAAATACATGAAAGGGATACCGGTGTCCCATTTGCGCAAAAGGGTTAAACACTAAACCTAGGACCCCTATATATATATATATATATATATGCGTGTGTGCATGNAATTATTTTCGTTTTTCTTTTGGTTTTTATTGTGCCCTGTTATAGTGATCATATTTAAAGCAGCTTGATATTATCTACTGTTACCTTACTTCCGTTTTCTTTTTGTTTCCGTTTTTAGTTCGGTTTTGTTTTTGTTGTGCTATATATATATATATATAATATTTTACAGTATATATGAGGCACAGTTTTTTAAAATTTTAGTAAAGTAGTTTCGTAGTTTCGTCAAAAATTAAAAATTTTAGACATTAATTTTTTAATGTTGAGTATTGTTATTGTTTAATTTTACTAAATTGTATGTACACTTATGACATGCACACTTATTGTATTTCTTCTCTCAATAGAGAAGTATGCCAAAGATTAAAAAGAGTATTCAAATAAGTATTAGGATTTTTCACAATATCTAAAACAAAGAGGTTTTTTAATTTATAAAGAAGAAAATGCTAAAACGGAGAAAACAGTAACGATCATTTCGCAACTTAATGCACAGAACCATTTTTGCATGTTTCCCAGATAAAAGAGAATAATTTATTCCATCGAAAAAAGATCACACAAACGAAGTAAAAAAAATTGCAATGTCCATGGAGCTTACAACTCCTCTCTTATTATCATCACGTTTTGAAGAAAATTATTGAGTTAATTTAATAACAAACAAACCCCCGGTCCAACTTTGTTTTAGTATAATCGTAATGAAACTAATAATTAGGTCCATAAAAACCAAACCCAAAAACGATAATGTCATCTCTAGCGTTAAACCATTTGCTCATCCAGCCACAAATGCAAATTTGTTTTCTATGACTGAGCTCTTCTGAGGCTAGATCAATTAGTATCAGCTGCAAAGAAAACAAAAGAAATGCTCAGAAGAATGACGAGACAATAAAAAAGAAATAACAAAATCTAACTTTTGGGAAGAGTAAAAAATATGAAGGAAAATAATATGAAAACGACACGGCCTGTTCGCTTAATACATTAAAACTCCATTAAAACAGTATCCGCTTTACAGTTCGGCGACTCCACCAAGCCTTGTCTCGAAAACGTGTCGCGTAATAAAGTAGTTCTAATTAATTAAAAGTTAAGCAAGCCTTTAGGATAGAAAGGAAGCAGGAATGCCTGCAGTGTTTTCATGTTTGTGGCAAGTATCCAATAAACAGCAACTTTGTTATGAAAGCATAGATATTGTTTTGTCATGCATGATGCACTATATGATTATGATTTTTAGTTCTTTTATTGGAAAATCAAATAGAGTTTAAAGGGAAAACAACAGTTTTTTTAGCTTGTTTATTTTTCATGCATTTGCCTTTTGGTATAAACCTAATATTTGGCTTAAATCTGCAATGTTTTGTTAACATTCGAAAGGGAGAATGAGTATGTAAATAATCAGTTAAAAGAAAGAAGTTTTCACGCCGTAATCAGAATAAAGAAAATTAACTTTGTATTATAAATAGCTATAAATATCTATAAATACCTATTCTTTCATTGCCAAAATTAGTCAAAGAGTATCGAAAACTTTATTTAAAATAAATACTACTATTTTGCCATGTGCAATGCACTACATAATTATGATTTTTTTTCTTTTACTATTATAATTAATCCATTAATCTATCTATTAATTCATTTATCTATTTATTCATCTATCTATTAATTCATCTATCTATTAATTAATCTATCTATTAATTCATGAATCTATAATTCATAATTTTAAACTGAGTTTTTTAATGAAAAATAAGTTTCTTTGAATTATTTTTTTAGCTTCTTAATGATCTTATTATTTTCAAGAAAACGATCATAAAAGAGTCTATTTTTGTTCAAGAAAAATATGTAAAGAAAGGTGTACTTACAGCAAATGTATTCATTTTTGATTTTAGGAGTATTTTTAGCTTGAAATTTAAAACAATTTATTTTTTCGGCGAAGCTAACATTCAGGGTTATTTTGATTAAATGTTGGGTTTCCAGTAAACAAGGAAAATTAAAAAAATAGGCTTTGTAAACATTTAAACAGAATTTCACTAAATTTTTGCATAACATTAATAAGTGTTAGTATTTTTTCCTGTGTGATTAATTTTAAAGCATAAGATATTAAGACCAACATCACACTCCAGTTACATTAAAAAAAAGTCTAGTGTGTAAAATAAGAAATTAAACAAGAAATTATGGGCACAAGAGATAGATATATTTAAACCTTTAAAGTACATTACTTTTGTTAATTAGTTTGCTTTTTATTAGTTGATTATTTAAGTTATTAATTAGTTTGCTTGTCAAGTATAAGTAAATTTGTTTTTCTTCAATTAACCACTGGACACAAAAATGCAAATAAGCAGCTTACTTATGTAGTTGAAAGCTTTATGATAAAAAATATATTGAAAACATATCGAAAACTTCACCAGAAAAAGATTAGGTAATGTTTTGCTTTGGCCTAGACATTAAGGATTTATTATTTTCTGCTGGCTTTTTTTGATGGAAAATCAAATAACATTTAAACAGTTAAATTTTCAACTGATTTGTAGTAATTTTCAACTGATTGTACAATTAAATTTTCAACTGATTTGTACTCTTTATATTAAAATCCAGAGAATACAATAAAAAAATATGATTAGAAATCAAGAAGCTTTCAACATTTCCAACTAAACCAGGCTATTGTATTCGAAAAGTATTCAATCATCATATCAGAGGGAATTGTAAAAAATTTTTTAGGCGTTGATAGATACATTCTAACGTCTTTACTTTCGTGTAACTAGAAATCCACAATACTTTTTCCTTTGTAAAAAATCCCTCCGTTAAAAAAAATAACACTTCCTTACAGAAAACTGTCTTAATTAGTAAACTTTGAAAATGCACTCAGAATGTCTCATCTTTTGATCCAGTTTTTATTCATTTATTGCTTTCAAGGACGTTTTAAATTTTACTAGTTCTTAAAGTTTGTTGTTTCACATGATTTTTACAACCTAGTTTTGCAGGTTTGTTTAAAATATCAGTATAAACTTTGCATTGATTAGATTTTGTTGATTTAAAAATTCGCATAATTAGCGAAATAAATAAAAAAAATGTAGTTAAAGGGATTAAAATGAACAATTTGTGTAATCTATTGAAATAAAGGGATAACGAAATACTAAAATAGTTAAGTAAAAACGTTTCTTTAAGAACTACAGTAAATATAGTGAAAATATTGTTATAAGAGCAGAAAATGTGTTTTATTCTTTACAAGCCACATTTTATGTAAGATGTTCATCTCCCTAATTGCAAAATAAAAATAGTTCAGAAGGATAGTTTTTTTAACTAGATTATTTTTCAATTTTATTATCCACTTACTTTACTTTAAGCCTTTTACTTTAAGCTTAGCAGGAAAATTAGAAGTTTTGCTATTTTTGCTTAAAATTTCCAGTGAAGATAACAAAGCAAATAGGAAATCAATTGATCAAGCCCAGCAAAATAGAAAGGTATTTTGGGCAATAAAAGGAAAAAAAACGAATTTTGAAATTCAGCAAAAATTCCGGTAACATAATGTTCTTAAATTGCAATGGCTAAAATAAAAAAGTTTTTCAATTTTATTGCAAGAGGCTAATTCGTGTTTTTATTCAATATGAGAAAAAGTTATTTTTAAAGTATATTTGAAAATAATAAAAAAAATTAATAGAAAGTAACGAAAATACATTAATTTAATTTTTCATATATTGGGAATTTACTTCGAAATGTATTATATTCTTACATTTGGTTTTTACTACATTCTTAAGAATTTAAATGAATATATCAATAAAGTATTTTATTTATCATGACCATAACATGATATAGTTTCTAACAACGAAAAATAGAATGAAACAAACTATTTTTGAAAAAAAAATATTAAGACGGAAGTAAAAAAAAATGATGTGAAAAACATTTTAAAACCATTAATTAAAAATAGTTAACAACTCTTTAAAAATGTATGAGTGAGTAAAGTTTCACTCCAATACCAAAACCTTCTTCTTTTTTAATCAAAAAAAATTGAAACTGGAATAGAAAATTGTAATTAAAAAAGGACATTTTTTATTCAAAAATACTCTCATTTTTCATATATTTAAAAATGAAAAAATATTATTATTCAGTTTTAAGCCTGATTTCCTGTTATTTAAATATATTATAGGGTATGATAAAAAAAATTACACTCTATGCATCGATTTTACCTTATTTATACAGATAAATGGATTATTTATTTGATAGCTATGATTATATAATTCATATTTTTCATAATTTACAAACAATTTAAAATAATCTATTTGAATGGAAAATAATGACTAAATAAAGATGCTTTTTACTCTAAAAATAGTTTCATTTTTAATAAATTACACTCTATGCCTCGATTTTAGTTTATTTACAGAGGTAAAATTATTATGTATTTCATAGTTTATGTAATGTGCGTATTCCGCAGCTATAATTATGTTCTTCGAATAGTTTTAAAATAATATATATCCCATTGCTATGACCAAGTAATTCATAGTTTTTGTATTTGATAAACAATAAA